TTTGGTAATAGCTATCAGATTTTGAAAAAAATGCATATACCCTTTGACCAGCAGTTTATCTTCTAGGTATTGTCATATAGATATTGGAACAAATGTCACCCGAGACAAATGGACAAGGGTGCCCTTTGTAAAATTATTTTCTAATAACAAAAATTTGGAAACACCTTAAAGACTCATCATGGAATTGGTGAAACAAAAGATGCTACATTCATCTAATGGAATACTGTAGCTAAAAATAACATTAAAAAAAACCCCTATATTTGCTGATTTGGAACATTCTCCAAGATACATTCTAATTTTAAGTGAAGAAAGTAATGTACCAAATAGTGTATATAATATGCATCTAATTATGTAAAAAATGGGCATATTCATTCATTGAACAAATATTTGCTGAGTGTCCTGGGCATTGTGGATACAGCAATGAACAAAATACCAAAGACTGCTCCCTTGGAGCTTATATTATGGTGAGGAGAGAAAGGCAGTTTCGAAAAACATACATAAGTGCTATGAGGACAATCGAGCATAGGAAATGGAATGAAGAGTGGAGTATGTTTTCAATGGACTGATGAAGAAGTTCTCCAGGCAGAGAACAGAGAAGTACTAAGGGACAATGACTTGAAAAAGCGTAGCCAAGTCCGGGTTCGGGGATCCAGTCACAGGTTAGTGATAAATTCCCATGGCAACATTACTCCTGTGAAGTAAATTCATGAGATTTCATGTTTAAACCATGAGAGACATCTCTCTGTATTACAGCAATTCCTCCTGCGAAAGAGCACCCAGGAGCAATATAATAGGCAATGCTCATTACATCCACTTTGTGGCTGAGGTGTCCTAGGCAGTTTGTTGTTCGGGGTAACTAATTCAAAGACTGGAAGACAAAACCACTATGTCTGTGTCCTTAAGTCACCCTTTGCTCAGTGGGGCTTCCCCAAGATCAAGGGAGAATATTAAATGTCCGTTTGCTAGAACTTTGGCTCTCTCTTTCTCTGAGGCAGCCCATTCCTGGAGTGACCTTTATTCTCTCTGCAGTCATTTCTCCTGGATAGGAGTCTGGGTGACCTTGTCTCTGGTGTCTCCCAGGCAATTAAACAGCCGCAGTCAGCTGTGTGTTGAATGTTCAAAGACTCTCTCTTCTTCTCATTGACTTTACTGGAGCAGAAGGCTGAATATAGGCACAGCTCTCCTACCAGCCAGGCCTCTCTCTACAGACAGACTTGTTATCTATCACTAATAGATTAGGCTTACAAGACTGACAGGAAGAGCAGACAAATGGAAATGGGGGTCTGAGTGGTGCTGGAAAAAAAGAGGCCTTAGAAAGTTTCTCAATTAGTAAGATCAAACATAAGGAAAATAGTGTGCCTTAGCAACCACGAACATGGACATAGCCGTAAGAAAACTAGAGAAATGAATGAATGTCCAGGGACTGAGACAACTAAGGTCAGTGAACCACTCTGAGATACTTACTAAAGAGATAAATGACCATCCTTTAGATCAAGGTTGTAAATTCGGGTGCCTACAGGGAACAGACATGGATTATGATCGGCTGAGAAGCCAAACGGGGCCAGTGATAACCTTGAGCACACAGAGCCCAGGTGAGAGGCAGCTGCTTGCTTAGCGCTAATGATTGGCCAGCGAGAATATGCAACTAGATTTGCTAGATCTGATTTTTCAAAAGAAGTCAGAGATCTGACACTTAGTGTGAAAACTCAAATTTTTAAATGTTGGCAACTTATTTAAACATAATTTTACAAATGTATTTAAAACATGACTGATCTCTTCCTTGTATTTTCAACACACTGGCTTCATTCCTTATCCTTGTCTTAGGGCAATTTTAAGGCAAGTGTTGAGTAAACTTGTTATACAGATGAAAGACCATTTTCCCCACTCCATCAACAAAAGAGGACACTTTTATGAGGATGAAGCATTGTACATGGAGTTAAACTTTGAGTATCTGTCTTGGAGGAGATGAGCATGCAGAGGACCCGTTCCTGGGTCAAGATCACACCTCTGCTCTGGCTTTGTTATGAGATCCAACACTCTAGATATTGACAAACATCAGATATTTTTGTGTCATGGTAAACATTCAACTAGACTGATTTAAATCTATTTCAGGTGTTAATTAGCCTACTTGTCCATATTTGTAAGAGATTGTTGGCACTTTGCTTCAAAGTGTGTTTCTGAATAAGAAATGGAGGCACTGGTCATGCATTTGGTTGGTGTACAAATCTTCTTCACGGGTCTACTCTAAACCTGGCACTGTGGAAATATTGTGGGGATTAGTAAGTTGGATATGATACTAGCTCTGCCTTCCACGGCTAGGTCTACAGGGGAGAGAAAACCTGTTTACAAGTACTGACTCAAAGCACATAGGGTAATTTATTGTAAGCATAGAGTTGCATACTGCTCCTACAGGGGTAAACCAGGTTATAATTTTCAAATCCAAGAGTTTGAAATACTTTTCTTTTTACTTTTAGTCATATGAAACTAGGAAAAGAACACCTGTAGAAAGACTGAGTTAGTAATTTCAATAATAAATATCGAGTACTGAGTATACTGTGTACCACTGAGCTGTGTGTCATGTGCATTATGTTATCAATTCTCACAATCACTCCAATAATTAAGTACTATTTTGCACAATTAATTAGCTACTGAAAATGAGAGAATTAGTAACTTACCCCAAATCACAGAGTATAAGTAGAGGATTCAGAACTTGAATTCAGGGCTGTTTGTCAGTGGAGCCTGGATTTTTAACATTATGCTTATAAACTTTCCAGAAAAAAATGAAAAATACAAGACACTGAGAACAATTTTTTCTTTAAGGATGATAGGAAATTATCATTTATAAGTACATTTATAGAAAGTTTTCTTATTTGGATTCAGTTAACACACATAGAATACATTTTCTTTAATAGCATTTTTTGATACAATCCAAAATTTCATTTTGTTTGGAAACTTTTAACTATAGAATGTGTGAAATTGATACCTTTATTTTCCTCTGAAATATTGTAATAGCATTGAGATATAGGCATATACTTTCTGTCTCTTATATTTCTTATAAGAAATTCAGAAGTGTAGAAATCGAATTTCCCAATTGGTGTTTAACAATGTTTGTTAGCACAACCCAGTAGTACTAGGCTAAATAATAAATTTAATTGTCAAGTTTAACTTAAGATTATAAACTGTATGCTTTTCATTGTGAGTTGTCAAATGGCCTATAGATGAAAAATACACATGTAATGTATTAGGTTAAAAAATACTCTTTAGAAAATATCTGGAATTTTATAATTTTGTTTTGGAGAGGTTCCAACACTCAGTTCAAGATATATAAACTAAAGCAATCAAATGGAGAACACTATCAAGGAAAAATAAATAGCTGGCATAAATTATGAGACTGAAATTGAGCTCAAGTTGGACTTGGGTTCTTACAGCATTTGGTTGTTTTCAATGTAGGTGTCCTAAATAATTTAGAATTTAGATATTTTCTAAAGAAAAAGTGTTAGGAAGTTATTAGAGCACCATCTCAAATATGTTTCAGTAGGATGCTTTCAGCTACAAGTTACAAAAATCCCTGGTTTTACTGGGTTTAAGTAATAAAGGGAGTTATTATCTCATATAAAGTTCAAAGGTATGGCTCACTCTAGGCTTAAGCTCTGTTTCTCCCCAGTCTTTTTCAGCTTCATCCCCTGAATCTATCTTACACACTCATGGATGCAATATGGCTCACACAGCTTGAGAATATCCTATCATAACAATATGCGGGGAAGAAAAGCAACCATCTCTTCTTTTTTCCCTCTTCTTAAGATGAATATACCTTTCCCAGGAGCACCTGTTTGAACCCCTGCAGAGATCTCCTCACATCTCAGTGGCCAAAATTGCGTTATATATTTATATCAAAATTGATCACTGAGACAGCAATGGGATTTCCTTAGGACTGTCAGGATCACCCTTGGGCTGGGGTTTGACCCAGGCTCCTCTGAAGTATATGGCTGTGCGAAGGAGGGGAGATACTAGAATGGAATCAGAGTTTTGTTGGAAAGGAAAAAGAGGGATGGCTACTTGTAGCCAACCAACATTGGCTGTCATAGAATAGTTCTAAATGTGCCTGAGAAGGGAACAGCTGTGGAGATCTGCAATTTTTCAGAGATTGGCTGTTTGATTTCTACATGGTCCTCAACACTCGTACTTACCCTTCTCATAATTACAGCTTCATAGAAATTTGAACTGGAAGGGACCATTCTGAGTCCCAGTTTGTTAAAATGTCTTCTCCAAAGCCACACAAGAAATCAATGGCAAAGCCAGGGCAGGTTTCTTAACTCAGAACATGGTGCTTTCTTTCATTCTTTACCTTTCAGACTTTAGAACTGTTGGAACAGCTTTAAAAGTCCTGGCAAGCACAGGTCTTTTTGGTAACTAACAGTTCCTCAAAATACATTTATCTTGTTTGCCCAACCTCCTAGAAACTAAATTGAGCCCGTGCTTTAAGAAGCCTGCTGAAGTCTTTATTCTCTGTTTTGATACACTGTGCATGAACCACCAACAGGCTCCTTCCCACCTCCCATTTGATGCAAACACTACTCCACCATCTCTCCCTATTGCTTCCCTGTCTTCTCTTCCTCCCTCTATGACCAACTGCCTGTTTCTATACAGACTTTGTGGCCATCTCTCTCTCTTTATGCCAGTTCCTAGCCGCTAGTAATGAAGGCTGTGGGCTTCACTGTTCTTCCTGCAGCCTGCCCAGCTGTGGTTGTCCCACACATTCATGTTGTTACGTCCCCCATATCAGGGTCTGAGATTATTTTGCTAACTACTGTATTGCGTGAGAGTCAAACTAATAAAGTATTGGGACAACTCCTACTATAATTTCTCTCCTGTTTTTACAACCTAAGAGGAGCTGCTTCTTGTACTCTTATTACACACAATGTACAAATAGCATGTGATTTATGGAGCACCATAAACCTGAATGCTTAGGATTCACTTTGTTGTTGTTTTTTCATTTCTAGGACAAGATGTTGATTAATATAAAGAGCATCTTATGGATGTGCTCTACCTTAATAGCAACCTATGCACAACATAAAGGTGAGTGTGGTAACAACATTTCTGTTGTTAAGGGAAATAAATATTTAAGTGCGGGGACAAGGAATGGCAATATGGAATCACTGGAATAAAGGATGAATTTCTGATCTATTCAGCACTGAAAACTTTCAGTTAAAATGTTACTAGGCTGAAAACAGTGGTTTTAAATCAATCAAAACAAAATAATGAACGGGAGGCTAAAGACGCAGGTAGGCTTTCAGTAGCTTCCCAGATTCCTTCCAGGCTGTGCAAAAAGGCTCACACAGCTATCCCTTGGTATCCATGGGCACTTGGTTCCGAGACCCCCAACAGATGACAAAATCCAAGAGTGTTCAAGTCCCTTGTGTGTAATGGCATAGCATCCGCACGTAACCTACGCACATTCTCCCACATACTTTAAACCATGTATAAATTATTTATAATGCCTGATAGAATGTGTTCTATAAAAAGTTGTTGTACTGTATTATTTAGGGTACAATGACAAGGAAAAAAGTCTGTACATGTTCGCCAGAGGCAACCATCTAGGCTTAACTACATAGTGAACATCAGCAACAACATAACATTAAAAAAATATATTGTCTCTCTTCAGTTGGTTGAGTCTGTGGATGCAGAACCTGCAGATATGGGGGGCCAACTCTATATGTCATTGGACAACTTTCCCGTCTTCTTTAGTACTACTCAAAGACTTTCCTATTTAAAAAAAGACTATCAGACCCTCAGGAGACTAGATTTTGAGAAGAGTCAAGAAGATGAAGAGAAGACTGACAGCTGACTATTTGTCCCTGCCTCCCTTTCTGCTCTCTCTCTGCCCCCTGCACTCCCCAAAGTAACTGGATAAGTTGACATGCCCTGTTTTTCTTAGCTATAAATCATATATCCACCAAATGAATGTTTTATAATTCCAAATTCGTGGACCATGGTCCGTGAAGAACGATCCTGCCTTGAGCTTCAGGGATCTACTTCTGTCTAGTGTACTTCTCCAGACTCAACTCCCACCTCTCTCTCATATTCACTCTATGCTTCAGACTCTCTGAACTAATTTGTGATTTCATGCACAGACTTTCATATAACCTGTTTTTTCACATGTAATTTTTTCTGCTTGGCAGTCCAGTCTCTTGTTCTCTACAGGTCTGCTTCAACTCATTCTACAAGACTCATAGTTTAAGTATCACCCTATTTGTCGTCCAGCCATCTATTTATCCATTCATCCATCCACACCCCATCCATTCATAGATCTATCCACTGAAATATTATTTGAATACTTTCTATGTGCCAGGTTTTATTATGAGTATACAGGGGTATACCATTATCCTGGGTTACATTAAACTTAATCTCTTAGTTTATGGAGACAGACAATAAACAAGTAAACAAACAATCCAGGTACTTTTAGATTGCTAAAAATAAAGCAGTGTGACATCATAGAGAGTGAGCTGGGTTTGGGGAAGGTGGTAAGGCCTCTTTGAGAAAGTAACACATTGAGGTATGAATGACCTAGATGATTCTCAGACTGTAGGGCCCACCCATCTGTTAATAGCCCACGAGCTGACTTTTTCAGCATTTTCAGGACGTAAAGGTGAAGGTCACGGAAAGGAAAGGATAACAGCATCCAGTGAAGAGAGAGGACATAGGAAGGAGACATAGAAAAGGGAGTCAGTTTGGGTAGGTAACAATAGAAGGGGAACTACAGAGAAAGTAATAACGAGAACCTTGAAGGACAGGGCAGCCATCCCTCACTTAAAACAAAGTTTAGACTTTCTACTTTTAAAAAAGGAAAGAACGCAAAAGTGAAAAAAATTATGATATAGCTCCTTGACGGTATTTGAAAATAGTAATAATAGCTAGAAATATTGAGTCATTTCTATGTGGTGGGCCTTGTCGAAAGCATTTTGCATAGCTAGGTTATTTCATCCTAACTGTCCAATGAGACAGATGCTTATACCTTCCCCATTTGGCGAATGAGGAAACTGCAGTACCAAAGGTTTGGAGGCATAGCTAATGTAGGAGACCAGACGGCAACTTAATGATGGAGCCCGGGGTTGAACCCAGGCAGTTGGGCTCCTTCACCTTTACTTCCTGAAAATGCTGAAAAAAGACAGCTTTGGGGCTGTTAACAGATTGGTGGACCCTAGACCCTAATAGCCATCTAGGTCATTCTTATCTCAATTCAAGTGTTACTGTCTCAGAGAAGCCTTACCACCCCACCCCACCCCACAACCCAGATTATGCTCTTAACTACTGTATTATAGACTTTACTCCAAAAATCAAGTTCTTTATAAATCTGTGGTCATGATTAAGATATGTCATTAGTTGGGGCTAATTTCAGAAGAATTTAATTTTTTCATATGAGAGGCAAAAGTTGAAAACGTAAGATCCACGTAAAACAGATTTGGCGAGTTCATAGTGGGACACACAGCAGTGCCTAGTTGTCAGTCAACACAACAAATACTTACATCGTAAGGCTTTTTCTGTTTACTCTTAGGCCTTCCAAAGGTCAGTAACTAACATTAAGGAACACCTTGCGTACTGGTTATTGGTTTTATTTTAATGCATGAAGAGCTCTTTGCTTTACCAATACACATTATATTGATGAGCACTGATCTAGTTATTTGGATATTCCCCTAATTAATAAATGGAGTCACACACAGTCATGAGCAAATAAATGAACAAGAGAATAATATGTATCACCTGAGAAAGTGATGAATTCCCATACTCTCAACCTGACATACTTTTGGCCAAGTTCTCTGTGTGTATATGTGTGTTTGGTCAAATTTTGTAGATGGGATTTACATCACCCTTGTTGGGCAGAATTTACTGACAGAGAATGAAAGGTAATTGATTATTCATTATTTGGTGATTTCCCCCTTACTGTAGTCTTGTAGATTACAAACCATCTGGTGGGAACAGTGAACTTTTTGCTAGCCTTCATTTTTATTACTTGCATTGTCAGAATTTCAGACAAGTTCTTGCAGGTAGCAATTTTCCTTCTTAAACAAGGGTAGCCTATAAACATTATCCTCTGAACTACTAAATTTCTTTCTTAAAATATATAGATTTAGTGAACTTAATTCTGTGACCCAGTACATTAAGACCCAAGATTTCATACACAAAGGAGGTGACCACACAGCTTTTTGTTAATCCTGGATTCTACATGGAATATATATTTATATCCAACCAAAGCTTTTCATTTTCTTGTACCTATAAACATCCAGAACAACACATAACTCTTGGGAAATTTGCCTTTTGACATCATTTTGTTCCAATATATCTTTTCATTACAGCAGAGTTATTGAGGAATGCTCTAAGTTCCCGAAACCTTCAGATTGGATACATTGGGCTGAATCTCATATCTGCCCCTATGCATTGAAAACTGTGAAAAGAATAATTTAGTAACAAATATTAAGGAATTGAAGTCACATTAAAATTATTTTTAAGGAGGTGGTAAAGAATCTTATAATTTATACCATCATTGAGGTTGATAATAAAGTTGTTTATTTTCCATTAAAAAAGCAATACTTTATTTCTGATGAAGTCAATCATCTAAATAACTCTTTAGGTAGAAAGATGAGATTTTCTAGAATATATGACAAATGTCAGTTAGGAGAATTTTAGGTCATACAATTCTCACCCCTTCCCTTCTCAGGACCCCTATTCTTGCCCCTCCCACCAAATTGTATAATTATCTCCCTAATGGGTTCCAAATTAGAGGCCTATGTAACAGACAGTAGTTTCTCTCTGGGAGTCCTCTGTGGTCTTTATTGATCTATTTAAAAGATCATGAAATTGCTAACAGTTTTCAGATAGCAGTTTAAAAAATAGGATGCGTTAGAAATAGGATAGGTGCAGACTCTGTAAAGGAGCTACAATGAGTTTAGGGACGGGAAGAACCCAATAAATACCAAAGTTGAAAGATTCCTTGATTAGGTGTAAGGGGATGTGTGTTCTGGCCCAGGTCTGTCACCAGCCACCTGGGATCTTGAGTGTCACTTACCCTTAGTGGAGCATCCTCAGTAAGGGATTCGACCAATTTCACTCTGAAGATGAGCTTTAAGTAAAATCATTTATTTTGTAAGCCAAGGAGGCCATTAAAAATAAAATTATTCCCTTGCTATTATATTCCAAAATATCAATAGTCTTTGTAACATTTTAAAGATGAACTTAATATGGCTAATAGCACACTTAATTTAATGTTTATTTAATCTTGAGTGTCTAAAATCCTGTTTTGGACAAACTGTATATAGTTTAGATAAAGATATTTATGACAGCAGTGATCATTATAAATTTGGAATGATTACTGGTTTCCATCATCAATACAGTAACTATACTACAATATTAATTATTTTAAATTTATTTGTATCACGTGAAAGATTTTATAGGCCAGTCTTTCTGAAGTTAAATTTCAATCTCCAGCAATAGAGAATATTTTTTTCTTGAAGAGCATAATATCTCCATATCTTCCTGCAGTTTTCAAAATGACTTATCCCCAACTGAATCCACAGGGCTATATTGACAGCTATATCATTTCTGATGCATGTCCACATTGACATACGTGTTACCAGCACTTTTGACCACTAACACACTGTTATCTATACATCATTTGGTTAATTAAGAATCATTATTTCACTACACCTAGAAGCTACTATTAATTTGTTCATCATATTTTCATTAAGTGGAAGTTGCTTGTGTATTAACGATAATCTCTATTGTTATTACCCAAATATTGTCTAGCCAATTAGTAGACACTGGAAGATGGGGGAGGGGTGAGAAGGGAAGGCCATGGATTCCTATAAGAGTGAAAGAACACTTCTTTTGCATGTAATAGTGTTAAATTATAGCCAATGCATTCTTTCTCATTAAAAGTTTAAGGGCTTAAACAGAAAGACATTGTGCAGATTAATACTTTCGGAGGGTTTATGTGAACAGATGCCAACTTTCCCCCAGGATATAATCTAGAGGTAATGTTTCACTGCAAAGTGATTGCAGCTGGATTTGTCATTATGATGAAAGCCTTTGGTTCAAACACTGAGCCAAAGAGGGTCCCTTCAAGTGTTAGACTTCCCCCTGCTCCAGTCTACTGAAGTCCTTTTTTTATTTTCACTTCCTCCCTGAATTTTATTTTCATTTCCTCTAAGGTAATATGGCAGTTATCTTAACAAACGTTTTTCATCTTCTGACCTGAGACGTAAATTTACCTTTCAACTGCTCTTTGTAACATTGCTTCAGCCTTTTAAACCTGCACTGCTGATTCTAGTCTCCTTTGCCCTTGACTCCTTGCCTTCCTATACTTGCTTTATCACTTATTTTTTTCATGTTAAACACTGAGTTACAAATACTTTAAAATTAATGCCATATTTTTGATGCATAAAATGAGCATTATTAACTCCTGGTTTTGTTATAAACATTATTGAAATTGTATACTATTCTCTGTATGTGAAGTCATTCTCATTATTTCACATATTGAAAATGTGACAAATGTCTGTAAGGATTCCTTCTCCGCTTACATATTTGACTCAGTTTGATTGTTTTTTAAGGATGTTAATTTGGTGTTTTCTCTTTCTTCAAGGCACAGTGGAAAAAAGCCCACCTGTCAAGGGCTCCCTCTCTGGAAAAGTCAACCTGCCTTGTCATTTCTCCACCATGCCTACCTTACCACCCAGTTATAACACCAGTGAATTTCTCCGAATCAAATGGTCCAAGATTGAACTGGACAAGAGTGGGAAGGACTTAAAGGAGACTACTGTTCTCGTGGCTCAAGATGGGAATATCAAGATTGGCCAGGGCTACAAGGGGAGGGTGTCTGTGCCCACACATCCTGAGGACGTGGGCGACGCCTCGCTCACCGTGGTCAAGCTGCTGGCAAGCGATGCGGGCCTCTACCGCTGCGACGTCATGTACGGGATTGAAGACACACAGGAGGCCGTGCCATTGACCGTGAACGGTGAGGCTTTTGGAATCTACAGGGAGGGAGTGTGTAACGTGATACCTGGTTAGAAGTGTTGCGAAACAGTGCTCAAGGGTAGCTTTTGTTTAGGGTTTGGACAAGTGGGAAAACCATCAGTCATCCCACAGTCAGTGTCTTTCACCAAAAATAAACTGTTATTTGTTGGGAGGTGGAGGCAAGGAAGGCAACTTTTTGCATAGTGACTTCAATGATTCAATGGAGAAAGTATAATCTGTACACTGGAAATAATGAACATGAAGACATGGTATATAGTTCAAGATAATTACTTCATTATTGAGGCCCATCAGTGATAGCTTTTTAAGACTGTAAAGGCTAACCTACATTTTGTTATAATTTTTACATAAGTGTGTATGCACATATACATATACACACATGTATATACACATATACAGGTATATACACACCAAAAAACACACACCCTTTTCCTTCTTTTTTCTCACTCTCCTAACATGATTGTTAAAATCTTTGAGTTTGCTTTTAAGAAATATAAATTATGTCTTAATTTACATTGAAGATAGAAGGTACTTAATAAGTACCATGGCACATATGACAGTGCCTTAAAAAGGCCAAGATGCAATAAACACTTGAATTGGATCAAAACAAGAAGAACTCAGTGAATTTTTTTTAAGATTAATACACTAGTTGTTATTCATTAAGTCCTGCAATGAAACATTTTGGTTTTAGCCTTCTTTCAGTAGTGGTTTATATGTCATTTGAATTTAAGTTAGGAGAGAAGGCAAAGAAAAATTGTTTTAATTGGGTACACACATAATGCCATGGATCTTGGAAGAATAATATTTTGGCAAGTTATTAAGCAAAATTCTCAAACCCAGACATGATGGAACAGATTTTTCTTCCAACCCTCCATTTCCCTATAATATATTTACCTTTCAGAAATATATACAAAGGGCTTTATTGAAACTCTTTCTTGTGGAGCCAAAAGGAAATACTTTAAATTTCAGATGCAACAAATTAATTTTCTGGACGTCCTTTTACATTTAGATTCTATTGCTTTCTTCCATAAATCTATTTTTATATTACCCAGTAAATGTCCTGGGCTCTTCGCTCTTTTGAGCTTTTTATCATTTATTTTAGTTAGCATAAAATTGTTTTTGTTCTATTACTGTTTCTCTAGATAGATAGGTAATAGTGTAAAGTGCATGCTATATATAAATTTATATAATAATGTATATCGATATATGTAATATTTAAATATAAATATATTAAATATATATTTAAAATCCCCAAAGGAGTTTAACAACTTCTTACAATGTTCATCATTAAAGTATTAGCAATGGATTTTCCTCTTGCCCTTCTGAAACAATGAAAATCCTCTGCTTAATCTCCTTAGCCCCATGAGGTCTTCAAATTATCCCAACAATTCAGATAGTTGTACAGACTGATATTCCCTGCCTTGGTCAGGGAGGCCCCTTTGTGCCCCCTTACTGCCAATCTTCAGTGCACATGGAAGATTTTTAATTACCAAGAAGACTATTTGAAGCTTCAGTCAACATAAGACTAATTTAAAACTGTTCTTCAAATTCTTGCTTAAGCCTTAGGGATTATTATAAACTAGGTCTCTTAGTTACCCAATACCACCATATACACTTCTTGACAATTTCAGAATAGTTCTGTAAAGGTAAAATTTTTCTGAAGGCATTTGATGAATATTTTTTCTATATCAGAAAGGGGAAAACAAATGTTAGTTATCAATGCACCTACTTGGTGCCTGTGTGGGTCTTTTTGTGTTGTTCCTGATCAGATGTGCCTGGCTATGACCTGGCTAGTCTGTTCCCCCATAGTCACTTTACTGGCACATGCCTAAGAGACAGACAATCTAAGGATGGGCATGTGGGAGATTCTTATAGCTAGAAGTCAGGCTGGGAAAGAGACTTTTGTCAGCCCCAGTAAAGTACTAGGAATAAAAAGAGAATAGAAGATGTTTCATAAACCAAAATTCATCCTGCATACCAAAAATGATGTGACTCAATAAAATCTCATCCTAAGATCCAGTTGTCCCAATTTCTATTTTCCAGTGACTCCTCAGGCACATTAGCTCGACTCACTTTGCAGATTATAGAAACGAGTCACCATATCTACTCCAGTTAAAAATGGAGATGCTCTTGCTGAAGTGGGAGGAGAGGACCCCCAGGTCCACCCCCAGCTGTTCTTTCCTCAGCCCTCTTTCCTCAGCAAGAACTACTAGTTTGTGCAACTCCTAAAATACAACAAAATGAAATTTGAGGCAAGTACCAGGATTTCTGACTTCTACCCATGGAGTCTGAAGAACTTTATCTCAGGATTTTTTTGGGATAAAAGTCCTACAGTTTATCTGTCATAGGGGAGACCCTAGATTACACTGGTCAGATAGTGAATATTATAAACATTTGAGTAGTACTTGGTAGGCTATTCAACATTGAAAAATCCTTTACCAAATTTGAATGTCGTATTGGTCAAATAACATAAGCAATTTCAGTTACACTTTAAGGAGGAGGGAATTAAGATTTGGTGTATGATTAATAACTTGTATATGATCAAGAAGCTAATTAGGGATTAAAACAAGCCTTCTCACTCATACATGTGTGCAGTACCTTCTCTGTCTTAGTATATTGTCTCTGGAAGTAAATTTCTCATGTCTTATGTTTAGGGGAAGTAGTGTGGATGAATGTTCCATGTGCTGCTTTTAGTAGGCCCTGGGAAAAATCATGAAATAGGAGTTGGTCTTAACTCTTTGTATCTCTTACAATACTTACTCCCTTTAGTTGTCCAGTGTTCCCATCATAGCCTGAGTACTACCTGTATTCGGACAACTGTCCACCTCTTGGGATTTAGTGGCTTAAATCTTAGATTGTTTCCATGTGAACAGAATATTTGGGGCTAGGACACTTTCTAATGGAGCTGAATGGGACGTCTAGGTGAATGGCATTTCTGGGGGCTCCTCATATCACCATAATTTTTCATAATGCTACATAAAGTAAAAATAAAGAGTGATCATGATGATATTAGCATGTTAGCAATTAATTTGATATATTTCCTCCAAAGAGAAACTTTGCACATTGCAGCGGGCGATTTGAATATGGCTGTAATGGTTTGTTGCTTTCTTTGCAGGGGTTGTGTTTCACTACAGGGCGGCAACCAGCAGGTACACTCTGAATTTTGAGAATGCACAGAAGACTTGTTTGGAAGTTGGGGCAGTCATAGCAAGTCCAGAGCAGCTCAATGCTGCCTATGAAGATGGATTTGAGCAATGTGATGCAGGCTGGCTGGCTGATCAGACCGTTAGGTGAGTTGTCTGGGGTGGGGGTGGGGCACAGGCTTTAATTTATCAATTTGGGAATGAGAATAAAGTGCTAATCATTAGTTTTTTCTTTCGCCAGATATCCCATCCGGACTCCCCGAGAAGGCTGTTATGGAGATATGATGGGGAAGGAAGGCGTCAGGACCTACGGATTCCGTTCTCCTCATGAAACTTATGACGTGTACTGCTACGTGGACCATCTGGATGGTAAGATGTTTACATTTCTCTAGTTTCATTTGAACTAAGAAAACTGAGGAAAGACCGGGAGCATTTTGGAATAAAACAAGTCTCCATGCTTGTTTAAATTCCAAACAGCAGCATTTAGTTTAAATGACCGTATGATTCTGTGGTGAAATAAGCTTAAATTAAAGTGGAAAGAGAAGGAGCGTGTACATGGTTATGCAGGTTAGAAATGTCTTTAGTTAATAGCAGGTTTTCTTTCAGTCATGCTGCTATTGAACTATTTCCAACACACTTTTAGAGCATTAAGAATAGAAAGCTGTAAGTGTGGTACCTATTTTTGTGAGAACTTCAGGTAAAATCCTGTGATGACAAACCATTGTGAATCCAAGTGCTGACCAACACCCCAAAGCACAACTAAATAATATAAGCTAGCCCAGGAGGGGTTTTCATGTTTCACTTCTGTTTACTTTGCTACACTGATATTCAGAGCAATCATTCATTCATTCATTTGGCCAGTCAACTCGTTAAAAAAACTACCTACTTTGTGGTAGGTACTCTGCTGGTTGTTAGGGGTGTGACGCCAGGCAAGATACAAGCCTTGCTTTAAAGATGCTTAGAATCTGATTGATTTTAGATAATCATTTCTCACTCAGCACTAGTCAGAGATTCTTAAAGACAAGTGTAAGTTAAATAGTGGCAACACTGTCTAGGTGGTTCAATGAAGTTTTATTATAAAACCTATGGAATACAAGTTTCCATGACTTTTGAAATGGAGTTTCATTTGTATCAACAGACATCTTAGACGCTTAAATATATAAATAGAAGTATTGAGTTGAGTTATACATTTAATTTTAGCTGTGTACACATAAAAAAGAATGATCTCTATTTTCTTATCTGTAAAATTAGGAGGTTGGACTAGATAATTCACAGGGTCTCGTCCAGCATCACAATCCTGATTCTGTGAATGGAATAAACTACCTCAGATTTTGGAGGCTTTAATTGGACTAAGATTACACATCAAATCAGGAAATTGTGTAATTTCCTGCCTGTAGATTCTCAGATTGGCTTTTGATTTTAATAGAATTTATAGCATGCTTTCTACAGAATACTTCATTGATGGGAGTTCTTTAAGAATTAGTGATACTTTCAACAATAAAGATAAAATTAAATAAAAGAATTAGTGATACTAGGCTTATTCATTTAACAAGCCCCAAGTCAGCTAGAAGAGCTTCCTGCAACTGTGGTTCAGATAATTCATGATTGATTCTGGATTACAGAACCTCCCCACATTGATTAAAGCTGGTGCTAGAAGAGGCTGAAAACGTTTTAGCTATCCTCTGTAGAACCCAGAATCATAGATCACAGCTATGCTTCTTATATAGGCTTTGGAGATTAACATAACTTGTTAGGGGTTTGAAACTGAGCTTGGAGTTTTTCTGTTTAAGTGTTTGAATGGTCTAGCAATGAGCCACTGAGGAAGGTAGCCAGGCATGGCACGCTCAAGCACCTCTGGTAAATGACATCTTCATCGAGTACAGTGACTTCAATAGGTAGACTGTGAGGTAGCCATAGGTAGGGCAAGGAAGGAACTATTTATTAATGGTTGCTTGTCAGGCTTTTTAAAAACAAACAAACAAACAAACAACCCTCCTTTTTGAACATAAGGAAACTGAGGCACCAGAGAGTGATTGCATGTGCCTTTTTTTCTGTTCTACTGCAGTAAACTCTCAGGACCACCAAAGATTCCCTAGCAGAGCAATAGGCAGTTGTATAAATCAGGGAGATACAAAGCGCTCTCACAGCTCCTTCGTTCTCTGACTTATCACATCAGAGTATTCAAATTCTTATTTGAGTAACGATTGCATTACTGATTTGGTTGCAATGATTGGAATTGCCGGGTTAAATAGTAACTCTCTTTTTAACTTTTTGAGGAACTGCTAGACTGTTGTGCAATGTGGCTACACCATTTTACATTTTCACCAGTGTTTTTAGGGGTCCTGCTTCTTTTACATTCTTGCCAACGCTTTTTTCTATCTGTCTTTTTGATCATAGACATCCTAATGGGTATGCAGTAATATATGTAGTAATATCTGATGGTGGTTTTGATTTGTATTTCCTTGATTGCTAGTGATTTGAGCAACCTTTTATGTGCTTTTTGGCTATTTTATATTTTATTGGAGAAATGTCTATTTAGGACCTTTTCCCCATTTTTAACTGGGTTATTTGCCCTTTTGTTATTGAGTTGTAAGGGTTCTTTATATACCCTAGATTCAAGCACCTTTTCAGATACTGTATGTGATTTGCAAATATTTTTTCCCATTCTGTGAGTTGTATTTTTATTTTCTCAATAGGGCCCCTTGAAGTACAAAATATTCTAATTTGGATGAAATCCAGTTTATAAAATTTTTCTTTGTTTGTGCTTTTGGCGTCATAGCTAAGAAAACATTGTCAAATCCTCAGTCATGAAGACTTCTGTATTTTCTTCTAAAGTTTTATAACATTTAAGTTTTGCTTTTATTTTCATCTATTTTGAGTTAATTTTTATATATGGTGTGAGGTAAGAGTTCTAATTCATTCTTTGGCATGTGGATGTGCACTTATCCCACCACCATTTGTTGAAAAGACTACTCTTTTCCCATTTAATGGCCTTGGCACCCTGTTGAAAATCAACTGATCATACATATAGAGTTTATTTCTGAATTCTCTATTCCATTCCATTGAGCCATTTGTCTATACTTATGTCAGTACCACATTGTCTTGATTATGGTTGGTTTGTAGTAAATTTTGAAATTGGAAAATGTGAGACCATCAACTGAGTTCTCCTTTTTCAAAACTGTTTTAGCTGTTCCAGGTCCCTTGAGTTCCCATATTAATTTTAGGATCAGCTTGTCAATTTCTACAAAGAAGCAATCCAGGATTCTAATAGGGATTGCACTGAATTTCTAAATCAATTTGAGATGTATTGCCATCTCAACAATATTAACTCTTGGGATCCATGAACATGAGATGTTTTTCTATTTTTTTTTTTAGATCTTCTTTAATTTATTTCAATGATTTTTTTAGCTTTCAGAGTAAGTTTTTCAGTGCTTTTGTTAAATTTAGTCCTAAAAATTTTATCTTTTTGATGCAAACGTAAATGGGTTTTTCTTTATTTCTTTTACTGTTTGTTTGTTGCAAGTGTAGAAATACAATTGATTTTCATATATTGATATTGTACCTTGTATTCTGCAACCTTGCTGAACTTATTAGTTCTAATAGTTTTTTAATGGAATCCTTAGGATTTTCTACAATAGTTATATTTCATTCTATGTTACATTTAAAAAGTAGAAATGCCTTGACATAAACTCCTTGAAGCATGTGCCAGTTATTTGCATTAAGGTTTTGATGTCAAGGTCTCCTGGAGTTTTGAATTCAAAGAGATTCATTGGAAATACAGTGGCCATTTACCTCTCAACTGTGAAACTTAAAAAAAACAAAACAAAAAAAATGCACACAAAAAAACGCACACGGAAAACTAGGCTGATCCTCCTGTGTTGACCTGCAGCCATGCTGTGCCTGTCAGACCAAATAACACATTCAATCTCATATATATTTTGAAGACTCAGACACCCAGAAATTTTTTAGAACTTCTTTCTCACTCTAATTAAAATCTTCCTGCTCTGTCAATGGGAAAGAATGAGATTGACATCCATGAAAACATTTACATTTTAGTGGGGCTTCCTGTGTCCTTAAGCCCTTTAAATTGACATACATGAGCTCTTGTATAATAAATGACAAATAGATGAATGTTATTTGAATGTTCCCATGAATGTTATCTGATTTAGAGAATGTTAACTGACTATCAAAGTCAATTAATGACAATTCTGTAGTAATAATCAGAGGTTACAAATTTCAGAACCCAAAGTGTATGCTTTAAGCCATATTATGCTTCTACTTCAACCTAAGACAAGGGAGAAGTTGGAAAGGTGCTGACCTGGCTTTCCATTCTCATTGCCCCTCAAATGAGAAACATCACCAGCCTAACACTAGACATGGGGATGAAGTTACTCTGGCAGATCCGGAGATTTTCTTGTCCCTGTTAACAGGAGGTTGGTGGTCTCTGTGCAGGTTAAAGGATCACATCTTAGGGGGATAGACATGCTTATGAATCATCTACAAATATTGGCTCTCAAAAGATTATATAGCAGTATATGTTAGCTGTTAGCCAAACATGCACAGCTGATGGGTTTCAGGATCCACTAATAACGAGCATTAGTTCATTGCTTTGATCTTGTGTACGCAGACATGGGCAAAAATGAGAGAGAGAGAGAGAGAGGGAGGGAGGGAGAGGAAGGAAAAAAAAGAAGCCTCCTTTGAAAAAACTTAAGAGTCCAGAACTTCAAAGCTAGTAATAATTACATTGAATTGTTTGTATCATCATGGGCCTTGCCATATACTGGAAGCGGTTTTATTGTTTGGGCATTTAGAAACTCATTTCATGTGACTGCTTCCAGCTCACTCTGTGTCTACTTTTGCACACATTTATTACTTATATACCCTTTTGATCCAAAGAGCAAGGAAATGTACAAATCTTGAACTTCCTTATAATAAAAAAAAATCAGGGAGTTCAGTTCTCAAATGGACAAAGGGAATCATGACTCGTTTATAAGAACTAATTTTTAGACTAGACAGTTCAGGAAAGAAGGGTTATGAGCACAGATAAACAGAAGAAGCATAAACATTTATCACACTACCCAGCAAGTATCCAGCTGGAAAACTGTGGTGCGAGCTCAGCTTTGACTGCCACAGAGAGCAGCCCGTCTGTCAGCTGTAGTCCAGGAAAGAACTGAGTATTATCTGCCATCTGATGCCAACTTCCCTTTTCACAAGGAACTGTCAGCAGGAGAGAAAGATCCCATCCCACCTTTGCTCTAGATCCTGGCTTGTTAATCTTTCTGAGTTACTCCTGGCTATAAACTCTAACTTTTGAACAGCGTGGGTTGTTTTTATGTTTTGATTTGTTTTTATCATCGTTTGCCTTTTCA